AAGCCACGCAGCCCACGTTGCTCTCTTCTCTGTTCCTCCCTGCATGCCCTAGGATGGAGACGGGGTGGGCCTGGGTCTTCTTCTGAACTCCCTCTCTCTTGTTCTAACTCTTCCCTGCTCTGCCCAGTCAGACTTTGCCCTTCCCCAGTTTCCTTCATAGCCAACGAAGCCACACTCCCGCTCCCTGTCAGCTGTTCGTCTTTCTCCTTGGATTCAGACTCCGACGGGCATGACAATTATAAAGATACTTTGCTTGTCAGAAGGTTGCAAAAGGAGATGACATGACCCCGGGACACTCCAACCATCATAAATATGAGCCAGTTGCCAAGTGGCAAAATTTTGATCCCGTGACCATGGGATTGTTGCAACAGTCGTAAGTGTGAAAAATGGTCATGTCACTTTTTTCGGTGCCATTGTAGTTTTGAACAGTCACTTAATGAATAATTGTAAGTTGGGGAAAGCCTGTAGAAGAAAAAGTCCCAATTGCTTTTTTCCATCAATTGAAACTCAATAGTATAACATTTGAACATAATAGCCACTGAAATACAGATAACCTCAATGCATCGGTTTAATTTTGTTGTATAAGAGGAGAAGAAAGGCAGATAAAGAACATTATTGGGCATTACCTAGCCTTAAAGGCTCTTTAGAGATTTGCTGTGAAACCACAAAACCCTACAAACAAAGATCTAATATAAGTTAGGAAATAGCCATCACCTTACAGGTCAAACCATACAATAATTTTATATACTTGTGCAAATCAAGATGGTTAGGTTTTCTGAGCGAGCCATCTAAAATTGCTTTCAAAGCTGGATCCAACTGAGAGACTCTGAGATTTTAATCAAGTTTATAGATTTTATTATAGCTTCCCCATCTTGATCGACTGCGATTCCCATAGTGTCAAACCTGCTTGGTCATGAGTTGGACGTCCACAGCAAATTGGGGATAATTTATGAGTGTCCAAAATGTAGAAGGCTTCAATCTTCTGAAGCAGAACCAAAGATATAAAGAATGCATCAAACTTACTGGTTATCCAATCAGTGTGTGTTAGCCAGGCTCTTCATGCTGTCGATTACATAGACAACATTTTATCTATGCACACAAAAGGAGATACCAACAGGATTGGGAGAAAATACCTGGGATTCATAGAAGTAAAAAAAGAAAAGGAAAATATGGGGATGAAGAGAGGAATAGAATTTGAGATTTCTCGCTGCTGTGGAGTAATACATGAAGTCCTGGGAGGTGGGTCATGGAAGAACTGGACAGTCAGAATTGTAGCATGCGGCACTCTGGGTTGCACAATTGGCCACAGGTGCACCAACTTAGATACCATGTTTCCCTGAAAATAAAACCTGGTCTTATATTTTTTTTGGCCACCAAAAAAGGTACCAGGTCTTATTTTCAGGGGATGTCTTCCACTGACACACCTCACGGTGGTGGTGCCAATGGCTCTGGCCAGCAGAAGCCATTGTGGCTGCTGGCGGCCCACTTCATCTGCAGCCACTTTCCACTGGTTGTGCACGTTGTCCCTGGCCTCTTGGTTCGCCGTCAGAGGCCTTCAGGAAAGGCCTCTCCAGCCAAGAAATGGGCTCCGGAATGACAGATGCAGCGCCCACGGCAGCTGTTTTGCTGTCAGAGGCCTTCAGGAAAGGCCTCTGCAGGTGAGAAACGGGCTCCGGATCGATGCACACATCAATCCAGAGTTCTTTTGTTGACTGCAGAGGCCTTTCCTGAAGCCCTCTGACAGCGAAACAGAGGCTGGGGGGAGATACGTGCAAGCGGCGGCAAGTGACTGCAGAAGAAGTGGCTGTTAAGGCGAGGCAGGTGTCAGGGTGTGCGAGGCCTGGCTGCAACTGTCCAAAGGTAAGCAGCTCTACCACCACTATCCCCACCATCACTTGATTTTTACCCATGCACTTTGCCCCACCTTGTGCAACCAGGTGCAATGGAGTGGGTGGGGTCTTAACTAGGGCTTATTTGAGGGGTAAGGGCTTATATTGGGTGCCCATGTCAAAATCAAGCTAGGGCTTATTTTTGGTATAGGCCTTATTTTGGGGGAAACATGGTAGTGATATATGTGTGTGTGTGTGTATGTATGTATGTATGTAGTACTGTCAAAATGAAAATTGCATCTCAATAGATATCAACATGTAGCTGATCTTTTTGGGACTCAGTTGGGTGGGATCATCCCAAGTTAAGACTTGGGTGGGAAACCACTGAAGAGTACCAGGGCTGTAAGTTCAAGTAGGAAGTCAATGTTCGCCAACCAGTGGGCTGGGGACCACTGGTGGTCCACAAGAAAATTTTGGTGGTCCTCAGAGAAATGTCACCCCCAAAGCATCCTCCAAAGCAATTAATCCAGGCTGTGCCAGGGACACAAGGCTTGCATTGTTTGCATTACGAACAACATGAGGTAATGAGGGAAGGGGGGAAAGGGGGGGAACTTGCCCTACTCACCCCACGCACCTCACCTGGCCACTGGGCTGCTTCTTTCCACTTCTTTCGTCTTCTGCTTTTGGCTGCACGCAAGAAAAGCAGCAGAAGAAGTCTTTCTTCTGTCCCCCAAACTCCGCCAGAAATGAGTCTTTGAGACCCTGCAAGGCCTCCTGCTCCAAGAGGCTGTGCCAGCAAAGACTCATTTCTGGCGGAGTTTGGGGGAGAGAAAGAAAGACTTCTGCTGCTTCTGCTGCTTTCCTTGCATGAAGGCAAAAGTCTCTCTCTCTCTCTCTCCACCTGAGAACGGAGCTGGAGATAGTATCCTGCGATCCCAAATAAAGAATGCTTGATCAGTAGGAAAATGGGGTGGGGAATTTTCCTGCAGACTTTTGGGGGATTTTCCACAGGGTCTCTGATTTAAAATTATGAGTTTGGTGATCCTTGAAGTCCAAAAGATTGGCGACCCCTGATATAGAACCTACTGAATGAATCTATGAATAAAGCATTTCAGTATTACTGCCAAGGAAATGTATACAGGTAGTCTTCTACTTACAATGGTTTGCTTAGTGGCAGTTCGAAGTTACAGCAGCAGTGAAAAAAGTGACTTATGACCCTTTTTCACACTTATCACCATTGCAGCATCCCCATGGTCATGTGATTTACATTCGGATCCTTGACAAGTGATTCATATTTATGACAGTCACAATGTGCCGGGGTCACGTGATCCCCTTTGGCGACCTTCTGACAAAGCAAAGTCAAGGGAGAAGCCAGATTCATTTAACAAACCTGTTATTCATTTAACTACTGCAGTGATTCACTTAGCAAACGTGGCAAGAAATGTCATAAAAATGGGGCAAAATTCCCTTAACACATTTCTCACTTAGCAATATAAATTTTGGGCTCAGTTGTGGTCATAAGCTGAGGACTACCTGTGTAGTTAGGTTCATGCCAATGTAAGAGACTCGGCCTCAATTCATGGGGACCTTAACTAACACAGCCATTAAAAACCATGTACCATGTCTGCATTCTCCCTTCTTCCTGTCCTCCATCTTCCTCCTTAAAGGTTCATTGCAATACCATTGCGGAAGACTGCAGCTCTGCCATCCCAGTGCTAGAATACCTGCAGTTGGCCCCCACAGCTTTGCGACACAAAATACAAAACTGTCCCAGGTCCAGTTTCTGACATCTCCAATTAAAAGTTGGTAGAGATGTCGGTCCAACATAGACACAGCCCATGCAACGTATGAAGTGTTGTGGTCTATGTGTGCAGTTTTAATTCTTCCCTGGATCAGCGTTTCTCAGACTTGGCAACTTTTAAGATAGGTGGACTTCAACTCCCAGAATTCCTCAGCTGGCTATGTGACTTTAAGATAGGTGGCTAGCTGGGGAATTCTGGGAGTTGAAGTCCTTGCACCTTCTTCAAACCAATGGTCCAGTAGTGGGATTCAAATTTTTTTACTACTAGTTCTGTGGGCGTGGCTAGGTGGGGGTGGCTAGGTGGGCATAGCCAGGTGGTCATGTGAATGGGTGGGTGTGGCTATGTGGTCATGTGACTGGGGGGGGGGTCAAAAGTCTTTTTTTTCTTTCTTTTGCAATACCTCCTGTGCCCTGTTTTTTGGCCTACTGGGCCTCAGGGAAGCCTCCCGGGCATGGAAAAAAGCATTTTGAAGCTTTCTGAGCTAAGTACAACAGCGAGGGGATCAGCTGTGCTCCACGATTTAGATTAGCTAGAAAGCAAGAAATTCAATGATTTTTCTGCTTTCTTGCTCATCTAAATTGTGCGGCACAGCTGATTGTCACCCAGTTGATAGTCAGAAATACCAGTTCAAGCAAACCGGTAGCATTTCTTTTACTACCGGTTCAGGTGAACCGGGCCAAACCGATAGCATTTCACCTCTGCAATGGTCCTCTCTATCAGAATGTGGACCAATGGTTTGAAAGAGGGGTAAAGGAGGCCATCTGTGTTAAAACTAAACAACCCCCTCTCAACAGAGAAGGAGGGATAAGACACCACATATTTCCTTATTTCCTGTTGTTAACACAGTCCTTTTAGCAGTTCCAAGAATGTTCCACACCCATTTGCTGTCTAATTCAGGTGATTCTGAGGGCATAACCCTCAAGTGACCTCAATGGCTCTCAGAGAGAGTGTAAATGACCAGATGACTGCCAAGAAATACAATCCCTTCATCCTCCACCTACCATTCTTCCAGAACCAATGAAGCTTCTTAGATGAGAAGCAAAATGTCTTCAAGGGGAAAAAAAAAGAAAGTCCAGTTGCCTTTAGAGAAAGTACCTTTGACACATTTCAACTAACACATATTTCTTCTAAATGAAAATGCAATACATTATGAGTACGTGAAGACACCTTCTCAATTGATGGGAGCTAAAATTGGCACTTTGTCTACCGCCCCGTTTTGTTCGCCTAGAACCCCATCAATTTTAATTGTCCTAAGTGAAGAATAGTTAGAGAACAAGTGAGGAACTTAAGGATTGGGCTGTTCCAAATCCTGTTTTCTACGACACTTAGAAGAATTCTCAGATACAGATAATTTTAATTAACAGCTTGTCCATTAATAGAAACCACAAAGTTGAGATTGTTCAGGGTATATGGGGGGTGGGGTTTGAAGGGGAGTGAGAATTAGTCCACGGATAATAACAAAGTTGATGCCTCAAAATACCCAGAGGCAATGCAATTTCATTGTTATACAGAAGAAAAGAGTCAAATATGTATTTTCCAAATGTTCTCTTCGTAGTCCCAATGGAGTGAAAATAGGGCGTGGGTGGGGGAGGAGAGAGAAAGGAGGAAACCATTCATTCATTCATAACAAAACCTAGAGATCCACTAATGAGGAATTGTCTGAGCAGATGCCAGCAAGCCTGAAGCACCAAGTAGAGGATAGTGATCTCATGGAGGCGTGCTCTTGAAACTGGAAGGCATCTCCCATTCCTTGGCTGCCGTCAGCACCCGGCTGAACGTTTGGCATTACAGTTGTGGATGGATGCTTCCCACCTGTCCAGTTCGCTGGATCCTCATCACTTACGCAGGCCTAGGAAGAAGGGTGGACACAAAGAGTTTAGAGAAGATGGAGGGGACCCCAGAGTGGCTCGCTTTGCCACTGTTCAAGAAATGTTAAGGCAACATCATAATCTCCTGGAAGTACTTAACATGTGCCAATGATGTGTAAAGATATGGGAAGGTGGTTTTGGGAGGCAGGAGGAAGAGCTGCAGAGATGGTATTCAGCAGGTTCTGAGCAGTTCTGGAGAACCGGTAGCGGAAATTTTGAATAGTTTGGAGAACCGGCAAATACCACCCCTGACTGTCCCTGCCAACCCCATCTCTTCTCTGCCTCCCGAGTCCCAGCTGATCAGCTGGCTCTTCTTTGGTTGCCCTGCACAGGAGAACGGAGCTGGAAAGCAGGTTATTGGGGTGGGGAAGATATGGGATTTGGCAATAACCTTCCCCCAGGGGTGGGGAGGGAATGGAGATTTTACAGTATCCTTCCTCTGCCATGCCCACCAAGCCACACCCACAGAACCGGTAGGAAAAAAAAAATTGGATCCCACTACTGCAAGGCACATATCAAACAAGCGGCAGCTAAACCCGCCGAAGGAAGGAGACCATGGCGAATGTCTCAGAAGGGACCCTCCCTAATGTCTTGGACTGTAAAGATGAGAAAGGGGAGGGGGAGAAACACACTTTCAGACTTGCAAGGCTCCCGCCGGTCTTGTGAGGCAGTCCAGATAAAAAGCATTTGAAATCCAGAAGTACTAAGTCTAAATTTATTGTAACGTCACCTTAACAGAATCTTGCAGATTCTAAATATATACCGTATTTGCCGGCGTATAAGACGACTTTTTTGCCCTGAAAAACATGCCTCCAAGTGGGGGGGTCGTCTTATACGCCGGGAGGACTCCGACTCCCACTTCGAGCTTGAGTTGCAGCCGGGAGGGAGGCTGGGGGGGGGGGGGGGGGTGTGTGTGTGTGTGTGTGTGTGTGTGTGGCGGGTGTCACTCGCCACGCGCTGCGCAACCTTTCCCCTTCTTCCTTCCTTAGCGGTGTGGGGAGGAGAGGATTCGAAGATCCTCACGTGCAGCGTACTTTTCTTTTTCTTTTTTTCTTTTTGCACGCAGGTTTTGCATGCGGGCGGCTGTAGGTTAAGGATGGGGGAGCCCCCGGGTGGGTTATCAGGTTTTACGGTGCTTCCAACATGTGCGAACGGTGGGAGAGCGGGGAAGAGAGCGAGCGAGCGCCCCGCTGTGTGAAATCCTGCCGTCAAAGCAACACTGGGGGAGGCAGGGTATAAATTTACCAGGTTAATGTAGCAATGGTGATTAATGCCCAGAACATTGTTTGCGGGTATTGGGGTGTGTGTGTGTGTGTGTGTGTGGTGGTGGTGAGGAGAGGTTGTCCTTTGAATGCGGAAAAGTAGGTGTGACCTTGTGTAGGAAAATAAAGAGATCCTTTTTAGCGTGTTTGGCTTCTTTGCCTCCCCTCGTTCGTTTTGACGTGGAGATAATGGCCTTCGGGCGGGAGGGGAAGAAAACGATAGCTGGATCATTTCAAATTTCACTTACTCTCCTGCCTCACTTCAATATGTCTGAGCGACTCCAGATACTGGAAGACTTTTTGAATGAAAGTGTTACCTCCATTTTTTTTTTTAAAGAGGGCCACTTGGGGAAAAAGAAAGATTCTAAGGAATTCCTTGTTTCTTGATTAAAGAGAAGGCATTGAATATACTGTTCCTTGGCAGCCTTTTCAGTGTCCGGGTTTTTGGTGTGTGTGTGTGTGTGTGAGAGAGAGAAAGAGAGAGAGAGAGAGAGAGAGAGAGAGATCAGCTGTATTGAGAAGAGAACGTTTCCTGTGTTCTCATTTTATTTACAACATATTTTACGCTTAATGGTAAGCAATGAAAAATATTTTTAAAACTCATTTCTAAACTCCATAGCTATTTGCATATTCTTGGTTCAAAATTGGATTAGCTCATTTCAAAATTGTCCAAAGCAGAAAAGTGCGTCAAAAAAAAAAAAAAGTGCAAAAGTGGAAGGTGTGTGGAAGAGGGGGTAGTCTTATACGGCGAGTATATAACAAACTCTATATTTTGAGTGGAAATGTTGGGGGGTCGTCTTATACGCCCAGTCGTCTTATACGCCGGCAAATACGGTATATATATATCTCTAACAGAATAACAGACTTGGGAGGGATTTTCGAGGTCTTCTGGTCCAACCCCCTGCTCAAATGGGGGAACCCCATATCGTCCCAAACAAATGGCTGTCCAGTCTCTTCTTGAAAACCTCCAGTGAAGGAGCACCCACAACTTCTGGAGACAAGCCATTCCACTGGTTAATTGTTCTCATTTTGGGGAAATTTCTGCTTAGTTCCAGGCTGGTCCTCTCCTTGATTGGTTTTCATCCATGGCTTCTTTTCCTTCCTTCTGGTGCTTTGGAGAATAGGTTGACCCCCCCACCCCCCAATCTTCTTTGTGGCAGCCCCTGAGATATTGGAATGCCAGCAAGCCTGAAACACCAAGTAGAGGATAGTGATTCCATGGAGGCATGCTCTTTAAAGTGGAAGTAGAACAATCAGTGGAACAACTTTCCTCCAGAATTTGTGAATACTCCAACACTGGAAGCTTCAAAGAAGAGATTGGACAACCATTTGTCTAAAATGATATAAGGTTTCCTGCCTAAACAGGGAGTTGGACTAGAAGACCTCCAAGGTCCCTTCCAACTCTGTAATTCTGTTCTGTTCTGTTCCTATTCCTATTATTCCTATTATTTCTTATTCTATTCTACTCTGTTCTGTTCTGTTCTATTTTCTACTCTGCAATTTGTCAGTTCAAATCTCACCAGGCTCAAGGTTGACTCAGCCTTCCATCCTTCCGAGGTGGGTAAAATGAGGACCCAGATTATTGTGGGCAATATGCTGACTCTGTAAAATGCTTAGAGAGGGCTTGTAAAGCACCGTAAAGCGGTATATAAGCAGTGCTACTGCTATTAGTATTCGATTCTATTTGATTCTATTCTAATTTCTGCTGAGTTTTGCAACCATGAAGTCACTTCTTTGTGAAAATCCAAAGATCCATCCAGGATTAGTGATTCTCTCTCTCTCTCTCTCTCTCTCTCTCTCTCTCTCTCTCTCTCTCTCCTCTTCCACTTCTTCATTTTGCAGCACCCCCTAAGAGACCGTCAGACATGCTAGAAAGAATTGTGCTATACTAAAGTAATCATAATAATACGTGCAAGGGAATTATTCACCGGAAACCTGCAAGCATTAGAGGAGAGAAAATACGCTCACAATGGCTGCCGGTCAGTTTGCTGAGTGAAGAATCCCTGCGGTTTTCCAGGGCAGGTTTTGCGATCGGCAGCCCATCTGCTATATGCTGCACTCTGTGTTCCCCACAGAAGGAAATCACTCAATGTCAAACCCACCGCTCCTTATAATGCTCGACTCTCTTGGTTGCGTCAGTGAGCGATGCCTACATGCCAGCCACCGTGCCTTGAGAAGGCATTTTTATAGAGTTCTTTTTACCACCTTGCTTGGGGCTTATATGTTTCTAGGATGTAAGCATTACTCTGGGTGGCAGGGATTATTAATCACCAATATTTGTATGCTATCTTGCTTACAAAATGATTGGCCATCTTCCTTTCCCCTCTCCCCCCGGATCCTTAAGCCCATCTTTTCTTTCTGCTTTGGCCTTGAGCTTCTTTCCTCTGGATTAGTAAATCAAGCAGCTTTGCCATGGCTCCCACAGAGGCAGTCATGTATCCCCACTTTGCAAAAACCCACCGCATTAAAAAGAAAATCAATATTTAATCTCTGGCTGCATCCATCCAAATGAGGAGCAATTTGGAAGGTATTCAATCCTGAAATTCAAAGAGTATTTATCTCCTTTTCCCCTTCTCTAGGGAAGAGATGTCAAACTCAAGGCCTGCGAGCCGAATCCGGCCCATGTAGTGCTTAGATTTGGTCCATGGGGCCACCCTGGAAACAGCAAAGGACCGGCCCGAGGTGCCTCTGCCAGTGAAAATGGAGCTCGGGACTCCAGCCTGTTCCCCAGCCTGAGATACCTCATGTGCATTTAAAGACCTGCGCATTCAATTAACAAATGCATTGGGGAAAGCAGGGAGTGATCACGTTCATTTAACATGATTCAATCAAATGAATCACCAGATTACAAATGTAATTGGCAGGCTCTATTACATTTATAAATGGAGGATTACCTGTATAATGAGAGTGAATGAGTGTCTCAGGGAAGTCCTGCCTTAGCACCACACAAGTCCCATGTCACGCCCACCCTGCCCACGCCCTCCCAGTCACATGACCACCAGCCATGCCTACTCAGCTGGTCATTAGAGCAGAGAACCAGTTGTTACATTATTTGAATCCCACCACTGCTTGGGAAGGCTGTGCGTGGCCTACCTGAGCTCCGTTTCCAGCTGCCACAACCTCCTGCAACCCTCGAACAGTGAAAACGTGCACGGCCCTCCCAAGCTCTGTTTCCGCTAGCAGGGCGCTCGGGCTGCCACAGGTGCCCTGACACAAATGATGTTGAGCTGGCCATGCCCCCCTGGCCACACCTCCCCCCAAGATCAAACACAATCCTGATGTGGCCTTCAATGAAATTGTTTGACACCCCTACTCTAGGGTAAACCAATGTTTGAGCAAGCAAAGGCCTCTGAATGGGTCCTATGACTTCACCAGATATGACCCAGCTTAAAATTTGGGGTCTATAGGTAAATTACTTCTATTCCCATTCCCTAAAGGAAGGAATTTAATGTTTAGTTTGAATTTAATATATTTATGTTTGAATGTACCATATAAATACACTTTTAGGACTGCGAGCCGCCCAACATTACCTTGATTTCTTTGCCTACCTGATTTCCAGCTCCCTTTCTCCATCGCATTTCTCACCGTCGTGTGCAGGGAAACAAGTTTGTGGGACTAAAGAAAAAAGTTCAGTCGATCAATTCCAACTTCGCGTTATCTTTTTTTTTTTTTTTTCCGGGAGAAGTTGGATTTGATTGATGGAACTTTTTTTTAGTCCCACAAACTTTTATTTCCCTGCACGCAATGGCGAGAAATGTGACAGAGAAATGCAACAGAGCTGGAAATCGGGCAGGCAAAGAAATGCTTGGGGGAAGTGACGACATCTGGGCACCAGGTTCTGAAATCAGCCCATCTTTCTCTAACAGCTGCCCAGGCCCATCAGAGGGAAGGCCGGCATCTACCGGAACTTAAACACAGCAGCATTCAAGCTCAATCTGGGAAGGGTCAGATGGCATGGGCACTGCAGGCAGGATATGCCCGCTCACTTCAGCACTCTTCCTGACCCTCTGACGCTCCACTGGGGCTTTGGCCAGGGTTGCTGCCTGAGACAGTTTTCTCCTGAGTGACGAGATCAAAGGTTTCCGTCACTCCTCTCTTGGACTTTTGGGGAGGGCTGTTCCCCCTCTGCCTGGAAGGAAATTTAATGAAAACCAAACGTGTTCCGGAAAACACAACTTTTCCGCAACGCGCCTAACCGATTTGCAGAACTCGACAAAAAATTAGGTACTGGTTCTGCTGAACCGATGTGAACCAGCTGAATCCCACCAATGCTTAGGTCTCCCCAACCGATGGCCAACTGCAGAGACTTTGAGGAAACCTGCAGGCATGACCCACTGCTTCCCTCCTGCCAATAGGAGGAGGCGAGGGGTACGAAGGGACCCCAAAACTTCACAAAGCAATGTGGGGGAAGTCTCCTTTTGCAGCATGAATGTGTTTCCAGGCTGGACAAATGTGATGAGACAGCCCGAAATGTGCTGCTGTGTTTCCAGCCCATGCACTGAAGATCTTCCCTCTGATGGCTTTGACCAAAGCCATAGCGAATCCTGCAGCCAGCAAACCTGGAAGCCACTTCTGGCCAGAGGAAAATGTCTTCTGCCCTTCTTCAGAGCTATCAGTGGCCACCTGAAGGGCAGCACTGAGGTGAACATTGGGGGAAGCCAATTAGACTCCCTCCCACGCTGTGCATCTCGCCATGGAAGCAGACTCTGTCTTCCTACCCAAGTTTCTTATGAAACAGGGAGCTTCAGATCCATACAGCATCGGGATGTTTTTCCCAAGGGTTACTATTGGTTTCTGTTTTAAAAAATGATCTTCTCAGATCCAGCACTTAGGAAGGAGTGCTGTTTTTGTAACCAGAGTCCACAACTACTATCCAAGAACCTTTCTAGTACCTGCTTTCCTTTCTCCCTCCCCCCTTCCTTCCCTGTCTTCCCTTCCTTTTTTCCTCTTCCCTTCCTTTTTCCCCTTTCAATTTCAATTCAATGTGTGGAGTGTGAGGGGTGTGTGTTTGTGTTTATTTTCATAGTCAAAAATTGTACATTGAAGATAGTATTTAATGTCATTGTATGGTTGTACGATGTGCGATGACAATAAAGTAAAGTAAACCAAACTAAACCTTCCTTCCTTCCTTCCTGCCTCCCCTCCCTCCTCCCCTCTCCCTCCCTTCTCCTTTCCTTTCCTTTTCTCCCTTTCCCCTTCTTTTCCTTTCCATTCTTTTTTCTTTCTTTCTCCAAATCCTACATCGCTTGAGCTCTGTCAAATTAGCTCAGCCTGTTCCTCCTTTCTCGCATTAAGCGCAGTGCCTAGAGAATGCAACAGGAATGCAGTTCAAGTGCCAAACGGCTGGCAGGCTGGCTTTGCATTCCACCCAGCTAATTCAAAAGGGCGCAGCTGGGTTACAGCAATATCCCACATTTCCCCTCGTTTATTTGTTAATCAAATTGGTTTGCCACCCACCCACCTTGCCACAAGGCATCTCTTCCTGACATGCTATATTCTAAATTTTGCCCAAGTGCATTTGCAGAAGCAGAAGTTACCCCAGCAGCATCAATAGGGTCCCTGGAAATTTGGATGATGATTCCTCTCTTCTTATATACTGTTTTGCAAAGTGAGCAAACAACGTGATGAATTGTACTTTTGCCTACTTTTTTTTCTTTGTTTCAGTATTCTAGACATATTTTTTATTTATTAGATTTTTATCCTGCCTTTATTACTTTATAAGTAATACTCTTCCTTCTCCTGTTTTCCCCACAACAACCCTGTGAGGTAGGTTGAGCTGGGAATGAATGACTGTCCCAAAAATCACCCAGTTAACTTTCATAGCTAAGGTGGGAACTAGAACTGCCTTTCTCCTGGTGATTGGTGCAAAGTCACCCGGCCAGCTCTCATATCTAAGGCAGCACTAGTACTCACCGTCTCCTGGTTTTTAGACCAGCACATTCAGTGCTACACTGCTCTTTATCTTCTATACATTATGCATCTCAGTAACCACATTCTTGCCCTGCATCCCAAGCTATAACCATAATTTACTGTTTTTGTAAAATTTCTTTATTAACCATCATTTCAGCCGTTTATAAGTGAGAGAATCTATGGAGCCTGCTAAATGTTTCCTTTAACCAGTTTTATGTTGGTAAGGCAAAATAAAAATGAATCTTGCAAGCTTTTTCTCAAGTGCAACACCGAATGAATGGTTAGAATCATAGACTGGGAAGAATCGAATCCAATCCCTTGGTCTGTGCAGGATTTTCATAGTCAGAAAAAATGGCAAATCCGATGAAATTAGTTGGGGAATCTTTGTGAGCCTAAGATTCAGAGGTGGCCTCAGGTGGAAGACAAGATGGCGGCTACAAGGGTCAGTCCAAGCTCTTCTTATTTAAAAATGTGTGTGTGTGTGTGTGTGAGAGAGAGAGAGAGAGAGAGGGAGGGAGGGAGGGAGGGAGAGGGAGAGAGAGGGGGAGGGAGAGAGATAGGTGATAGATAGGCAGGTAGGCAGGTAGGCAGGTAGATACATGATAGATAGATAGATAGATAGATAGATAGATAGATAGATAGATAGATGATAGATAGATAGATAGGAGATAGATAGGCAGGTAGGTAGTTAGGTAGATGGGTAGATAGATACATGATAGCTAGATAGGAGATAGATAGATAGATAGATAGATAGATAGATAGATAGATAGATAGA